TGAATTCAGCTTTTCCCATTCTCTTTGTCTTAGTCTGTTCAAGTTGCTAAAACAAAATAACCAAAGACTGGGTGCCTTGTAAACAATAGGATGTGTGTTTCTTATGGTCCTGGAGGCTGGTAAGTTCAAGATCAAGGTGGTGGCTAATCCAGTGTTTGGTGAGGGCTTGCTTCCTGATTCATCGACAGTCTCCCTTTGCTGTGTTCACACATGCTAGGAGGGGTGAGCAGTGCTCTGGGGTCTCTTCTATAATAGTACTAATTGCATTCATGAGGGCTCCACCCTCATAATCTAATCACTTCCAAAAGCCCCAACTTTAAACCATGCCATTGGGGATTAGGTTTCAACATATCAATTCGGAGGGGAACACAAACATTCAGTCTACAGCACCACCTCAGTGAGACAGCTTATTTTTGGCCTTCTGGTGGTTTTTGGAAACAGTTAGGAGAGAGATCTTAAGAGCATTATTTTTATCCACACTGAACGTTTTGGTGTGTTGGCGTGTTGTATTGGACTTGTCTCTACTTGGAGTTTGTTCTGCCACTTGGTTGAACCAAAATGATGATAGCCATTCTGAGTGACTCCTTCTCCTGGGCGAGACTGGTGCTCCTCTGACGTGGTTGAATGGACATAAAAGATTCTAAGGGAACCAGTCGTGGACAGTACCCTTTTTCTAAATGCCCCAAAGGAACTGAGCACTAACATACATCATAAGGGCCTGTTCAAGTTGGGCAGACTTTTTGACTTTTCCCTTTCTTTAAGATAAAGGGAGGGGAGTGCCTGTGAGAACTAGAGTTTATTTAAGTAAAGAATACACATGGCTTCTGTGCTGCTGCTGCTGCTTCTCTTTTTTTTTTTGGTCTTTGAAATATACCATGACCAATTGAGTCAAATAACCCTCATTAGTTTTAGGGGGAATTTCTTTTCTCATAATCTGTTGTTGCTCAATTGTACCTTTACAGTAACTTTTGCGAAGTTCCATAGCTTCTGCTTTCTAGATTCTGTGGCAGGAAATGGGGCTTGTTATATACTGTTTCTCAAATATAAGCCCCACTGCTCATACTATTCATTTCTAGTCCTGTAAGTGACTAAGCCTCTAAAAGTCAAGGAAGTCCGCTTGGTAATAACCCAGGTTAATACCCATATGGCTCTTTACTATATTTCAGAAAAACATTTTCTGCTGTCTGGCATTTCAGAAAGAAAAAGATTGCTCAGCAAAATATTTTCCAAATTTCTAACCCTGATTATTTTTCCACTCAACACTTTACACAGAGAGGTAGGTACAGATGGCAGTTTGCTTGATCTGCGTGATACTCAGTCCTGGTCCTGACCCCTTCCCTGGAGCCTTCTCTCCATTCCCATATAAACAAAGTGGTTTCAATAGGGTCATAGGGAATGTCTCCAGTTTTTATCATTTGCAAACCTAACTCTTAATATATGGAATCTATTCGATCAGGTCTTTAACTCAGTAAACATCTATTTTGTGTTTGTCACTGTATCAAGCTAAAGAAGAATTATTAGAAAACTGAGGGTAATGGCTCTGTTTCTTAGCACAGTAAGGAAGACATAATTTAGACACTTTTATTTACCATGAAAGACTGACCGTAAATATGTGGAAGAATAGTGTATTAGGAGGCACGTGTTGTGATATCTATAATATTTAATGGGCTCAGGAAAAGAAAAAATATAAAAAAATTGAGAGAAAGATGGAGTAGATATGATGAAGTCTTATTTATTGAATCTAGATAGTGAATATTTAGGTATATATATTTTTCCTACTTTTATATGTGTTTGAAAATTTATACAGTAATAAGAAAAAAAGATAAAATTTGAGTTATAAAGAACATTTATGAAACTATACAAAAATGATTTCAAGGTGCTATATGGTTAATTCTCTATTACTCAAGGGTTTAGGTTATTATTAGATAACCTAGGTAAGAACTAAAACAGAGGGGTGAAGCTGGAGGCCCTCCGAGGTCAGGCAGGTAATGCGGATGAGTGAAGCTGGCTGGCGGCAAGGCACAGGAAGTGGTGGCTGGGGCTTGAGAGAGCAGAGGATTTGTAAAAATCCTTAATGTGCATTCAGAATACAAACAATTCTGAAGTCTGGTGGTTAGTGGTCTCCGAAAAGTGACAAAATGTACCATCTCTCAATTAATCCAGCATTCTGTTCTCTTCCCTCCTCTTATCAGAAGAGATAGGGGTGGTTCATTCATCAAAATGAGGGAGATGGGTTCTTGACACTTGAGAGAGATGGGAGTACTTTGTATTCATTGCTTCTAGAATTTGCCTCAGTTGCTACAACTTTGTAACTTCAAGAGCGGAAAAAGTGGCCCATCATTTTTTCTCTGTGTTGTTCCTTCTGTGATCTAGAGCAGGATTTGTGGCAGATTTTCAGATTTCTGTGAGTCGAAGAAGCACATTCTGACAATAGATCCATAAAGCTGAGCTTTGTTTTCAGATGATTTAAAGGGCACAATTGTGATTTGTAAGGGTGATTTAAAGTGTCATTTATTTTTACTTTGAAGTTGTCTGGGCAACTTCACTTGAACACCTTAGTGTGCCTTATAGACTTGGCAGCTTTCTTGAAATCCACCCTCCCCATTTTTTTTTTAAGAGGAAGAGTAAGGGTTTTGTAGTAGTCCGTTTATAAAACATTTTTCAAATGACAAAGTTTTAGAAATGGTGAACAGATTAGTGTGTGCTAGGGATTAAGGATGCTCCCCTAGTAAGGATGAGAGAGAGGTGGATGTGGTTTCAAGAAGCGACACCGGAAATTCTTGTGTGATGGAATGGCTCAGGATCTGAGTGCGGTGATGGACACGTGAGCCTGCACATGTGAAAAAACTTAATAGAATTAATACATTGGTGCACATGTGTGCACGCACAAAAATGAGTGTAAGTACAGTAAAATGGGGACATCTGAATAAGATCAGTGGATTGTATTGATGTCAGTATTCTGGTTGTGATATTGTATTGCAGTTTTGTAAGACGTTACCTCTGGGGGAAACTGGGTAAAGAGATACACAAGATCCTGTACACAGGATCTCAATAAAAAATTTCAATTCAAAAATGAATTCCCATTCCTGCAAAATCCTGCCTTACCAAGAGGGGCTGTGTAGAGGCAGATCCCCTGGGGCAACTGGGCTCTCTGTGTTGGGATCAGCAGTGGAATGTTAGGGAGCAAGGCAGGGCTCAGGGTCAGCCCTGCCTTCTGCTGCGTCAGGCAGATGAAGATCTGAGAGCAGTGACTGACTGACACTCCAAGGATTCTCGGGACGGCCTGCTGGATAGCGCATTTTACAGCCTGTCTGGGGGCCAAAGAGCACTGGCTTGGGCCCCAGTACCTCTGAACCAGTGACATCAGTGGCTCGGGGCAGGAATGGGGAAGGGATCCCAAGATGACTTTTGGTGTGGGTAGGTGCCCCCTAAGCATGCCCAGCATGGCCCCATTGTCATGTTCATTTTGGCATGCCTTGTGCTTTATCACTGACTCTGCTATGAGGTAGAGCGTGGTCTAGCATAGTACTTCTCAGAATGTGGTGGGGGGGATCCCTGAGGTCCCGGGAGCCTGCCAGGGATTCTCGCAGGTCAAAGTCATTTTCACAGTAATACCGAGGCATTTGTTAATTATGCTCATTCTCTTACAAGTGTACAATAGAGTTTTCCAGAGGTTACATGATGTGAAAAAACAACATATTAAATGCAGAAGTGGCTATGAGACTCCAGCTGTTTTCTATTAAACCAAACATGAAAAAGACTTAGAAAAATGTAAACAAGTACCACTCTTTTCACTTTTTTGTCTGGGAGGATATAATTATTTTCTTTAAAATATGTTATTTGTTAATATTTATTGGGATTATTGTCATTTTTAAAAGATTTAGTCAATATTTAAGAATTTTCTCAGTTTAATTCTTTTTACTCAGTTTAATTTGCAAAAAGAGAATTACACCATGAACTACACAGAAAATAACAGAGTACAACTAATTTAAGTTACAGGAATCATAAGCATATATCCAGAATAAACAAACATAAAAATAATTTTAAAATACTATTATTCAGTTTAATTTTTAATATGTGCATATTGATATAAACTACCTAAATCAAAGCTCTTTGAGGTCTTCAGTAATTTTTGAGAGGGTAAAGGGTTGTAACACTAAAAAGTGTGTGAAACTTTGGCTTAGCAGAATGGACTTGGCCAAAAGTCGGTGGGCTTCGTCAGAACTTGGCTGTGTGACCATGGGGAGGTCATTTAGCCACCCTAATCGACTTCTTCTTTTGTAAACGCTAATAATTATCCTGTTCTATATACCTTAAAGAAAAGTAAGATAATTCTGTATGGAAGGCTTTGAAAATATAATGTCCTATGCAAATGTGCAGTAATTTAATACTTATATGACTAAACTTTTGTTGAAATAAAATGTGAAGAATGAGGTTTATGGTATGTCAGCTGACATTCTATTCACTTAAAAAAAAATTTTTATTTTTGCATCTCCTCCTAGCAATTTCTTTATACATTTTATTTCTTTTTCTCAATTTCTCAACCATTCTCATTCTTCAAAGGAATTAAGTAAATACATATTCTAAAGTTTTCAGTCAAGAAGGGATTTATATTCCTGATACTTTGAAATAGTGTCGTAAGGTCAGGAGCTCTATCTTGGAGAAACCACTTACTGGCTGTGTGACTTTAGGGAAGTTCCTTAATCTCTCTGTGTCTTGAACTCCTCATCTGTAAATTGGGGCTAATAATGCCATACTGCCTATGGTGATTATAAGTATATAATAATGCACAGGAAGCACTTTGTCAGTGCTTGGTACATAATAGATGCGCCATAAATGATAGCTGCTATGACTGTCATTAGCGTGTAACAAAAGATGCAAGATTAAATTTAGGTCTCTTACCTAGTCTTTAGTAAACTTATTATTAACCTACTTTATTCTAAGTGTATTAACAGTAATTTCCATTTCATTTGATTTCATTCTTCCTTTCTGCTTTGAAGGGCTGTTGAGTGGCCAGACTTCCCCAACAAATACCAAATTGGAGAAACTGGATTCTCAGCAGGTGTTGCAGCTCTGCCTCCGATATCAAGATCACCTCCATCAGTGTGCAGAGGCCGTAGCGTTTGATCAGAATGCTTTGGTTAAACGAATCAAAGAGGTAAGCAGGGTGGGAAGATAACATTGCTGACCTATTTTTGTGATTCCCTGAGACTCCTGAGTTGCTTTTGTACTGGGCAGTAGAGCTTTACGGGAAGGAGTCATTTTCTACCTAAGTTTTGACATTTAGTTTCATTGCTTTGGGGGTTTCTTTCCTAATAGTAAAATATGATGATGAAAGAGTGGTCCATGGAGTTAACCAAATCTGGAGTTTGAATCCTGCTTCACCACTTACTGTTTGGGCAAGTTACTCAACTTTTCTTGATCTCAGTTTTCTTACCTGAAAAATGGGGCTAAGTGGTAGTTACCTACCCCAAAGGTTGAGTGAAGATTAAGTTGCTCAGCTAAGTGTTAGCTCTTTTTTTTAAAGTTTGAATTTTACTTTTCAGTAACAGTTTACATTCATTATATTGAGTCAGTTTTCGGTGTACAGCGTAGTGGTTAGCCAATAATGCACTTTATATAGAGTGCCCCCTGATATTCCCGCGCCCACCTGGCACCATCCGTAGTCAGTACAGTATTATTGACTGTATTCCCTGTGCTGTACTTTACCAATACCAATCTGTACTTTTTAATCCCTTTATCCTTTTCACCTGGTCCTCCAACTCCCCTCCCCTCCCCTCCCCTCTGGCATCCATCACTCCATTCCCTGTATCTGTGAACCTGTTTCTGTTTTGTTTGTTCATTTATTTTGTTCTTTAGATTCCACAGATAAGTGAAATTATATGGTATTTGTCTTTCTCTGACTGACTTATTTCAAGTAAGTGTTAGCTCTTATTAGTATGTGTAACATCCTGCCATACTAATTTGCCCTAAATAGTTTATCTTCAAAACGGCTTTAGCTGGTTTCTATATATCCTTTATCTTTTATTTTCAAATAGGGTATCATTGTATTTTATCACTGTGTTAGCATGTGAAAGCTCAGTGATTCTTACTGGCTGGATGGAAACAATTGCCCCTATTTGGCCCACAAGGTCTTGTAAGGAAAAAAACAAGATAATTTATGCGAAAGTACTTAGCAAACTAAAGAATATGGTAGGATGTTGAGTAATTATTAATAACAGTAAGTAGGTACTTTAAGCTGGACTATTTCATTGCCTGGGCCACTGCATGGCATAGTTCTAGGAGCACCAAGTTATAAGTAAATACGTTTTTTAAAGTTTTTGCTCAAGAAGGGATTTATATTCCTGCCGTCTTGAAGTAGTGTCATATAAGGAAAGGGTCAGGAGCTCTGTCTTGGAGAAACCACTCATGAGAACGGCACCTGCTGGAGCTGTTTAACAAAATCGTTCTGGTCATTGACTCAGGCCAGGGAAGAATGTGGACATGAGGCAACACACAAGAACAAGATTGAGAATCACTGCGAATTCATCATTTATTAGAAATGGACATAGTACATCCTTGAAACTACAAAGTAGTCATCAGTATATTGATAGATTTGAATTTGTCACCACCTCCAGCGTATTAGCACATACCTTTCATAAAATGGAGTATGCATGTATGCCTATCTTCTCTCTAGAAAGTGTTTTATTTAGAAGACTGTTAAATGTGACCTTTCATATTGTTTGGCATTGCTGTGGCCTTTCAAATGGTCTGAACTATTTTACTCCATTGTGATCTACATAGCTTCAAGTCCCAAACATGATTATGCATTAGAATCACTTGGATTTTTGTTTGTTTTAATACTGAGTTCTCCTGTCCCAGAGCTAGTCTAGGCTGTGTTTTGTGAATCATTATTTTAGTAAGTTAACCAAATGATTCTTATGCCATTCTCCATTACCTGGGATTTGGAAACCACTGATCTACAGTAATATTTTCCAATATAAGTTCTATAAAAACTAGCCCATGTAAGGAGGATCTAACTTTTTGCATAATCCATCACCACCTTGGAAAGTCACAATGCATATTATCTTATTTTTAAAAAAGTTCTTAGGAATCTTACAGTAAGGAAAATCAGTAGTTTTCCAACTTTTCGATCTCAGAACTCTTATATTCGGTAACATCTATTAACATCTTACAGATACAGCATATTTTAAGACACTTCTTTGGAAAATGCCCTTGTAGACATAAGAAAGTCTTTACCATTTTTGACTATTGTGCTAAAAATTAGCCATGACATTAACTTTTAGAGAGACAATTTTGGAAAAAATCAACTTTTTAATGCTTCTTGTCTTCTTTTTGAAAGGTCCTCTAATCCACATCTCTTATTTTGTAGTTTAGGAAAGTGGAGTACAGAAAGATTGACTAGCTCATTTTAAAAGAGCTGGATAGAGTATTTTAGCTGGTAGTACAAGACAGAGCTTCTCCTTATACATTTTCAAGACTCAGAGCAGTGTTTCTTGGCCCTGAATATGTGTCATAATCACCTGGGAATTTTTTCCCTCCGGTATATAGGATGGAAAATTTTACACATGTGCTGAAGGAGACAAATACGGTGAACCGTCACGTACTCAGTGTCCACCGACTACGGGCGTCAGCACGCCAGCGCTCCTGTTTCATCCATACCCCCACTTATCCCTGTCACCTCCTCAACTGGTCTGTTTTGCAGTAAATCTCAAGCAAGCCTACAATTTCATTCATAAATATTTAAGTATGTATTTTGAAAGTAAAGGACTCTTTAAAAAAATTTTTTTTAATCTTATTCAATGTTAGACTTAGAGAAAAATCACATAAATAATTCAGAGAGTTCTTGTATACCCCTCACATAGCTTCCTCTAAAGTGAGCATCTTACAGAACCATATGGACAATAATCAAAACCAGGAAATTTACACTGGTACAATACTGTTAACTAAATGAAGACCTTTTTTGAATTTCACCGGTTTTTCAACCAATGAAGAACTCCTTTTCAAGGGAACCCTAGTACGTTGTTGGTGAGAATGCAGGCTGGTGCAGTATTCTCCATACTGCAATGTACTAGGGTTCTCCATGTGGAAAACAGTATGGAATTTCCTCAGAAAACTAAAAATGGAACTGCCTTTTGATCCGGCAGTTCCACTGCTGGGATTATACCCTAAGAATCCTGAAACCAATTCAAAAGAACCCATGCACCCCGATATTCATAGCAGCACAATTTACAATAGCCAAGTGCTGAAAGCAACCTAAGTGCCCATCAGTAGATGAATGAAGATCAAAAAGCTGTGGTACATTTCCACAGTGGAACACTACACAGCAGAAAGAAAGAGCCCCTCCCCTTCACAACAGCATGGATGGAACTGGAGAGCATTTTGCTAAGTGAAATAAGCCAGGTGGTGAAAGGCAAATGCCATATGACCTCACCTGTAAGTAGAACCTAATCAACAAAACAAACAAGCAAGCAAAATATAACCAGAGACATGGAAATAAGGAACAAACTGACAGTAACCGGGCCGGGGGGGGGGGGGGGGGGGGGGATAAGGAGGGAAAGGAGGGGAAGGTCAAGGAACATGTATAAAGGACCCATGGACAAAGCCAAAGTGGGGAAGGATTGAGGGTGGGAGGTGGGGGTGGGTGGGGCGGGGGAAGTGGGGATGGGAAAAGGGAGACAACTGTACTCGAACAACAATAAAAAAATTTAAAAAATAATAAAACATAAAAACTTGTCAAAAATAAAGCCATAATGCTGTTATCATAGCTAAAATATTTAACAGTAATATCTTAATTCATTCAGTACAGCTGATCTGCATTTAAGAGAATACTAATGTATGGGTGTCACTCTAAACCAGTTAGATTGAAATCTTCAAATGGTGGGGGGTGGAGAAGGGGGGAAGTTGAGCACTGGTATTCTTGAAAGTGCTCTAGAATCTGTAATCAACGTTGAGAACCAGTGTTCCAGAGCATTTAAAACAATTAAGCTGAGTTAAAAATCCTGTTTGAGGAACTTCGGGATTCACCTTGAGTGGTCAGTAGTTCACCCAGGACTGTTGGAAGACCCTGACCTGTCAGCACTCACAGCGCTGAGCAGTAAGTACCCCCATAGTTCTCCCGGAGCGGAGGAGGGGAGCGCTCTTTCAGGGTTTTCACTGGCGACTTACTGTCTCTGTTGGAAAGTGCTAGCGAACTCCCGAAGCACACATCCATCTGTACTCAATTCAAACCCAAGGGTTGAAATTAGTCATTTCCAAATGAATAAAGCTGAGGATGTAGTTCTAATCAAACACCAACTCTCTAATATTATTCCAGATGTTTCCTGGAAATTTGGTTGCCAGAGTGAGGAAGTAACATAATGCTATATGTATTGAAAAGTAAGGGAACTTAATAACCATGGCGAATATGCATTAGTGGAAGTGCAGAACCTGACTCACCCAGAGGCCTATAAAGTTACGGTGCTTGTGATCACTTAAGTTTGGGTCAAAGGGAAACACGACTGTAACCGTGTCTGAGTCAAATAAAAGAAAAATCAAGGAGTTGGCTGAGCTTTCCTGTTGCTAAATTTGGATGCTGCTCTTGAATGACAAGTTTATGTTTTAAAAATGTGTGTATGAGACAAAAGGAGAAGTTAGAGGTGGTCTTCCTTCACAATCGGGGAGTCCTGTAATATGCACTGGCCACTGGCTTCCTTAATGGCTATGGGGTCATGACCCCTCAGTCGGCCAGCCGCACCGCTGAGCACCTGTTGTAGACCCACTGAGTGTGAGGACCTGTAGGGCCACAGAGAAAGGTGACTAAGTCCCTGCTTGCTGCAAGCTGTCTAGGTGAGGGAACAAAGCAACACAGAACAGTAATATGAAAGATGAGGCACTATTGATGGAAAGTGCTCAATTATGGTTTATAATTGAAGTTCTCTAAGAGTTAAAGATCAGGCTTTCCTGGAGCAGGTGAGGGTTAAACTAGGTCTTAAAGGAAAACCAAGATTTGGGAAATGAATGGAGGGTAAGAGGAGAGTACTGCTGGCTGGGGGAACAGCTTGGCAGTCCTAGAAGAAAATTAGCTTTGGGGCTTCAGGGGACAGTAAAGAAACTAAACTTAGTCAAAGCAATCTTCTCTGCATTGAGAATCATAGACTGTTGGAGGCAGGGAGACTT